TATAATATATTATATATATTATATTATATTATTTTAACTATATTTTTTATATTTATTTATAATGTATTATAATTATTCTGTTTTCTTAATATAATAAGTTATTTTAATTTTTTTTTTAGTTTAATTTCATAAAATTTAATTTATTATATTTTAATTTATCTTCTAAGTTTAGTTTAATTCATCCATATGTAATATCCATATATATTAACTGGTACTAGAACTAACACTTGACCTTGAGTGGTGTAGTGGTTGCATGTATTTCTTGCTCCAATGAGGTCACAGGTTCAATCCCTAGGATCAGCTGATTTTTTTTTTCAATTTCTCGCGATATATTCAATATATCGTGATAAATTCAAGTTACCACGATATATTCACGATATCCGGTCGCTGACTCGGATACACCTGGTCGCCACGTCAGATTTCCGTTAACGGCCGTTAAAAGCATGTACCATTTTGCCAAAAATGTAAAGGTCATGTATTTATTTGCCAAGGTCTAAAATTCATGATTAAATTGCCAAACACGTAAAGGTCGTGTTAATTCCCGCCATTTTGCCTTAAGTTCTCGATTTGGGCTCCCGATGGCTCACTTTTCACGGCTATTTTCTCAGAGGCATTCGAGAAAGGGATACCATTATTAGAGAGAAACCATTATCAATGGGATTAGGCTATTTCTCTAGATTAGGTTGTACTGAGCCATTCGAGTCAACACAATTGTGCCCCATCTTGAGGCTGTAGGGATTGAGAAACGGAAACAATTATCAAAGGCTTGTAATTTTCGATTTTTCTTTGATGAAGTTCGTTTGCTTGTTGGTTGGTGTTAGACAACTTGAACATAACGGCAATAGTGTAAGAGCACCACTTGTTTTAAACGATATTATCTTCTTTTTTTTTCAAACAACATTATCTGTTTTTAAACAGTATTATCAGCTTTTGTGAGTTTTGTGTAATATTAAACCAATATTTGATATATGAGGAGACCTTGAATTCCAATTGCTAAGCATTTGTGGTGTGAGACCTACTTCGGGCACGACCGTCTTCAATTCTTCCACCATTCTCAAGACCAAAGTTCCGCCTGTAATGTGTTCGGCGAAATTCCTAAAAGATTTTCAACTTCAAAATGGGACCAAAACGAGCAACTCGGGGCAAAAGAAATGTTGCGAACGCGGGAACTTTAGCGACTAGAAAGCAGAAGACGGGAAAATCCTTGTCTCAAGCTGCCCGGGGTGAACCGACGGATCTCCGGGCGGTTTATAATGCCCCATTTGCTATATTTTCATAAATGGAATGGGAGACCTAGCGTCGCCTCTCGCAAAAGAAGATGGTCAAACTGAAGTCGTTCAACTTCAACTTACTGGAGGATCTCGGTATTCAAGTGGAGGTCAAAGGTTACTTAGAGACGCTGAGATTGACAAAATACGCCAATATGGACGAGCCGGCGTACGACAACCTCACTCTAGAATTTTTCAGCATGCTCACCTTCAAAAAAGAAGGAACATGTTCAGAGTATTGCGAAATGTCGTCTGCTCAGAAAGAATTTAGTCATTTTATACGAAACAATTCAGAGCATTTTCGGTATAAAGGATTGCACTCTCAGCAGGGACGGGAACACCAGCGAGTTTTCTGCGGATGAATAGAGCTCGAGATTGCACTGGGCACCATTTGGAATTCCAACGGTCTGGCAAATGGGTTGTGATGCACAAATTTTTATGCTACTACGTCTTTGGAAAAAAAGAAAAGAGGCGA